GCTTTGTGGGCATGGTGCAGTTTTGTGGGCATGGCAGAAGAAGGATACTGCAAAATCCTCATTCCCTCCCCACCCCACTAACCTGCTTTCCAGCTCCATTCTCCTGTTCAGGGCAGCAAAAGATCAGCTGGGAGGCAGCAGGGGCATGGCCAGCCTATTTGCCGGTTCTCGGAACTACTCAAAATTTCCACTACTGGTTCTCCAGAACTTGTCAGAACTGGCTGAATATCACCTCTTGCTTACTGCAGGTAAAACAAAATATCTTCCAACATAGAGAAATTCCTGGGAATTATTTAAGCATTCTCTCCCTAGACCCCAATAATCTTGCGCAAATTTGAAGTTTGCTTTTCTATCATCTAATGAAAACCACTACAATACATATTTGCTTACATATAGTTGCAGGAAGACTAAGTTGGACATTGTTACTTAAAGCTATTGTGAATCTTTATGAACCTTACAATTTTGTTTCAAACAATTTATCCACAGGAACGTAGGAGTTACTTAAGTTTATACCAGAAACAAACAAAACAGATTTCCCTCATCTTCAAAAGAGCATATTCCGATTTTAATAGGGGGGAAGGAAACCCAGTAGTCTAATACCTACTAAAAAGTAATATAATTACTTTACAATATTATTAAACTTATAGATCATTTCACTATACAAATTGTATACTTATTTGGGGATACACAATACCCTGTAGCTTTCTACAGTGCAACAGAGACCAAAGCAAAGTGTTTATTTAATTTAATTATTTAATTATTTAATATTTATAAGGCACATCTTTATTCAGAAATATGCTTTATTATACTAAATGAAATCTACTACCAGATAGGCACCCATGGTTTAGCAACTTCCTTCTTATAAAAACTGGCTTATTTAAAGGAATACATGGATTCTCAAACAGCGATATTATTAAATTGGGAACAGGTTTTCTGACCCTGAGACCATGGGAGCATTTAACAGATTAAGAGCATTGGAAGGGACCTTGTAGGTCATCTCGTCCAATAACCCACCCAAGTGTTTATCTCCCAATGTTCTGAAAACCTTTTCAATCTTCTAGAACATATTTGTGAGAAGCAGGATTAGAGATTGCAGGAGAAATAAAGCAAGATTGCTGCATCTTTTTATATTGCAAAAGTGGAGTTCTGCTGCTGGAACAGAAGTTTCTAGTGGAGAAAAGTATTTTTCTGTTCACTGGTGGCAGAATTTGGATCCAATCCAGGTATACACAAGATTGTGTCCCATTTTCTTAATCATGCAGAAGATAAAAGGATATCTAGATGACTTTTTGCTCTATATTCAGTTGATCTGGCAATTTCTTCTTAAAACTTTATGAAACTGGAGTGATTTAATATGCTGATTCTTTGAATAGCAAACAGTTTATATTGAAGAATTATGATGTGTTTACCTTGAAGACAAATTAATATCTTTTAATATTCTGCTTTAAAGCCAAATTGCAAATGTGATTCCTAATTCAAAAACCCACGATTATTATAAAACAATCCTACTTATATAGTTTTTCTTGCATTATAAAAACATCACCCACAGTACTGTGGAAATTTACTTACATCCCATAAAATAAAGGTATTAATATATAAGGTACATTTCCTTTATATTAATACTGATCAAATTATTCATACACTAAATGCATTGACATGTGCGCATGTATACCTAGTATATCCATATATACACTAAAATAATAATAAGTAAATGAACAAAGATCAAGGATGTCCTGTATAACATATGTACTGTAGGTTCATATCTCCGTAAATTCTACCACTGTTCCCAGGCAAAATCATCTCCTCTTCCAAACAGAACAAAGAAGCCTAAAACTGTAAGAAAAATTACGGCATTTCCAGCCAGCACAAGGCCACAGGCTCCCCACTTGATCTGAAATAGAAAATAAAATAAAATTAACCTTTCATTCATTGATACAAAATATAGGCTATTTTAAGCATTAGAGAAGTCCAAAGAAATACAACATCATGATGGTAAAAGCACTTAAGATAAAACACCAAACTTTAAGAACCAAAAGAGCTACTAATTATGTAATTAGGAGTCATTATAGAACTCATCATCTAATTTTCTAAAACAAACTTGACATGAAAACAATTACAAGTCCTTGAATGGCTCAAGAGAGCAATTAATGAAAATTTACAAGAAAGCTCATCCACCAAAGCATAAAGCAAATTGTGAAGAATTATTTGTAAACTATCAGCCACAACATAAAACAGAAGTTTCCTATTATCAGTACAAATCTGTAAAATACAGTAAATATCACACACAAATTAATAACATAACAATAATACATAATAGTAGTGTAAGTCACCAGAATTTGTACTACTTTTCAATCAAATGGAGGACAGATAGCATACATTTTCTCCATGATAACAACCTATAGCTGTTGTGGCAGTGATCCCCAACCTTTATGGCTTGGTGGCCCAGTGATTGGGGGNATAATTTCTGTCTTCAGCAGTTTGCCTTGTAGAGTTGTACAGATTTCCTTTCTTTAGATGGATACTAACCCGTATCCCAGTTTCTGTTCTTATTTTAAATGTTTGCATGCTTAAGGGTGTATGTGTACACACACACACACACACAGACACCACACAGAGTGAGGTGAAAACTACTGTAGCTGTTAGGCCTGAAAACAGAGTTTAGAATGAATGTGTTATTGTATGTATGAATTAGAAGCAGGGAGGCACCAAGTGTTACCTTTGCTGTTTAGGAACAAATATATACATTTTATCCAAATTTGGAGAAAAGTAGAATTCAGAGTTCGAGCATATGGAGAACAAGCAAAGCATAGGCAAGAATCCAATTTGTGTGAGGTTTTTTTTTTTAAAAAAAAACTTATATAACACTTTTGATTCTTTAATTTTAGTGGGATATGTGGGGTGGTGGTTTTTTTTTTGTTGTTGTTGTTTTTTTGCTTTAGTCTGTGAAAAAAGTGATAGAGACAGAGAACTAAGAAGTAAAAAGAGGAGTTGCACATGTAGAAAATAAACCAGCTTCGATTTGAAATTGCTCATTGGATTTTGACCCCACCAAGATATTATTCGTTCTCAATATATCTATTCAGAGATAGCTTATATGCAGACCCATATTTTCTGCATGTATATAATGGCTATCCCTAGCATTCATATGCATATTCGTATGGTTTTATAAATGATTTAATTGATAAAGCTAGTTATATAATGCTGGTGCTAATCCCCTTTATTTAGCTTATGCATCTCCTTTACTTTTCACTTATATTTGGAGAGCCTCTCATGTCTTTTCTCCTTGCCTTCTAGGAAGCTGTTCTTCACTGACTATGGACAGATACCAAAGGTGGAACGCTGTGACATGGATGGGCAGAACCGTACAAAGCTGGTCGACACCAAAATTGTTTTCCCCCATGGAATCACCTTGGACTTGGTCAATCGGCATGTTTATTGGGCTGATGCTTACCTCGACTACATTGAAGTGGTGGACTACGAAGGAAAAAACCGGCACACAATCATCCAGGGTAACTTGGTGAGTACAGCTGGGATCAGGGGACATGGATCTTGCGGAACATGGATCTTGTGGAATATATTCTTATGTGCAGCTGTTGAGCCATCCGATACAGTCCTTATCTTTGGGAATCATATCATTGACAGGGATCCAAGTTGTATTGAGTATGCAGTACCAATGCCATGGCATAACTATAGCCTGATGAGCAGGATTCTAAAGAAATGTGAGACATAAAACGAGAGAAATGTTTTCCAGATGTTTTATGATACAGCTCTCACAGTCCCTCAGTCCCTCATTATGCTGCCTTAGTTTGATGGGGGTGGTCCAAAGCTAATGGATCAAGATTGTTAGTCTTGATATTGGTGCTACAGGCACTAAGGAGTTGATGAATTATTTGTATAGTGAGAGCAATCAATCAGTGGAACAACTTGCCTCCAGGATTTGTAGATCTACAAATCCTGGAGATTTTAAAGAAGAGATTGGACAACCATTTGTCTGAAATGGTATAGGGTTTCCTGCTTGAGCGAGGGTTAGGCTAGAAGACCTCCAAGGTCCCTTCCAACTCTGTTATTCTATTATTCCATAGGTATTTCTTCTCATGCACTGTTAGGAAAACATAATTAAAGATTAGTTCAGAGAATTTCAAGTTCTTGTTTAGCAATGAAGCTCAGTTTTTTTAGCCATACCCGTCTTAGAGGATTGTGGAATGATGGGAATTTGTGACAAAAATATTATAAATAATATAGAGAATCAGTAGAATTTGAAAAGTCTACCTGGTCCTTTTCTGTTTGGAATCTGAATTGTAATGTTTTGAAATAAAGGAAAACAGATCTTCAGTTCTACCCATTAGCCTCATCATTTTTTTCAAACCACATTTGTTGTTTGTAGATAGAGCATCTCTACGGCTTGACTGTCTTTGAGAATTACCTGTATGCCACCAATTCCGACAATGCCAATACTCAGCAGAAAACTAGTGTCATCCGGGTCAATCGTTTCAACAGTAGTGACTTCCAAGTGGTTACACGGGTGGATAAAGGCGGAGCTCTACATGTCTATCACCAACGACGGCAATCCCAAGGTAGATAAGGGAAATCTATAATGTCTGGGGATAAGGGGGGAACTGTGACAGGGTTAGCTGCTTGTATAATGTTTCTGTTTGACTTTCAAAGTCCCTTTTATCACTGGCCTCTGTGAAAGGACATAAAACTGGGCTTTTTTTCCAGGCAAATGGTCAGGAAAATACAGCTATGTATGCATATACATTCCCACAAGCATATTTAGCAGAATGATATAATTAAAGTAATCCACCAGAATATGAATATAGACTCCATTTAGACACCTTTGCATCCAATTCTAGCACCGAATCAGAAGGCTTTATCCATTATTTGTAATCCATTGATGGTTACTGATCTCAGCTTTTTTATCCCAGCTGTTTTCAGTATGGCCTTATTTAGGGTAACCAGTTTTCAGGTCATACCTTGCTCCTTTCGTACCACTGAGAAGGCCTCAGCTGTTTCTTTCCCATATTCTGTTTTCATTCATATCTGCCAACCACTGTACTTTTAATGTCCCAAGGAGCTGTATAGACATTCCGGATATGTGTTAAGGTCACGCTGTGGAGGAAAGTGATTGACTGCCAATGTGTAGAAGAATGGCTGATGGGTCACCCCTACATGTGGTTGATCTAGGGCTGTGATAGTTTAGAGAAGTCTTTTATCACTCTGCTTTTCTGATGCTCTGGACCTTCTTTCTGTTTTTGTGGAACCTCTATTATATGGTATGTTGATCTGAGTAAAATGTATGAGACCTTTTTTCCATGACAGCTTTAGAACAGCTGTTCTGCAATATGTACTTCTTTATAGGCAGATGGCTATAATTAAGGATCACTTTATGTCCATTCAGAATTTTCCTCTGTGGCAGTGGGATTGCCTAAAATTATGAACCAAAATATGTTTGGGAGGATTATCTATAATAATTTTAATTCAAGGAAGGATAATTTTAATGGGTAATGCCATCTTAGGATGTGTGGTGATTGGAGCCATTACTGTACATTCTTGTTCCTGTTTATTTATGTGGTTATTCGATTTCTATAGCTGCCCATCTCTAGCAAGTAGCTATGTTATAGTGTGGTCATTTGACATCCATCTTCACGCCTTCTTTGGTTGTTCCAAGCTGTTAACAGAAGATATGCTGCTGTGACCTTAAAAAGGAATTCAATAATATAATACCAAAGCTCCAAAGCTAAAACTTTGGCTTTGGAAAAATAGCCTCAGGATAAAACTGCAACATTTTAATGATGTTAGCTAAGTGACAGATGGATTTTGTTAAACAGAATGTACTTGGTTGTGTTGAAGATTTTAAGAATGAGGTTAATGATTATGAAGACTCATGTTACAATAAGCCTGCAGTCTTAAACACCCTTATTGTTAGCCTCTTTCTGTCTAATTTGGGTGTCACCAATATCATTCTGACTCTTGTAGCTTCAGACGCAGTAATATAACTCAGATTGTCCAGACTGTTTACTCCATATTTGAGAACTTGCTTCATGGTGGTAATAGCAATACCAATGGCACTTAGACTTATATACTGCTTCACAGTACTTTACAGCCCTCTCTAAGGGGTTTACAGAGTCAGCATACTGCCCCAAACAATCTGGGTCCTTATTTTACCAACCTCGGAAGGATGGAAGGCTGAGTCAACCTTGAAACGGTGAGATTGGAACCGCTAGCAATCAGCAGAATTAGCCTGCAATGCTGCATTCTAACCACTGTGCCATCATAGCAATAGCAATAGCAGTTAGACTTATATACCGATTCATAGGGCTTTTAGCCCTCTC